AAAATTTGTTCGTGTTCGGCTCATTAGGCTTAAAGAACGAGCCGAACACGAGTTGTTCACGAACAACGAGCCAAATTGACAGCCCTATCTCCAATATTTTATAATATAATTTAAAATAAAAAAAGTCAATAAATTGTTTATAAATTAGGAATACATCAAATTTGCCCCAAATTTCTATATGATTATTGTAAAAACTTTTCCCTGTGAAATTTTCATATGATTTTGGAACAATACATCAATCCAACTTCCACTATACAAACTAAAATTAATCCTTCCAAGCACAAACATAAAAACAAGTAATCACTTCAACGGTCTTTCCAGGATCCAAAAAACCTCATTTAAATGAATTCTATAGTCCAGTTCTACCAGAAGGAAAAAAATTGCGTGCGATAGACGTACGCAGCGCTGCGTGCGATATTGGCGTCCAGCTCTACCAGACGGAAAAAAATTACGTGCGATAGACATACGCAGCGCTGCGTGCGATATTCACCGCGGGTACAAGGGATTACATCCATGGTATAAGCCCTTGTAACCTTCTTGTAACTTCCCTGTAACTTACGTGTAACCTCTTAATATATGATGCCCTTGTAACCTTCTTGTAACCTCCCTGTAACTTACATATAACCTCTTAATATATGATAACAGAAGCACAAAACTAATAGGTTGAATGTAACCCTCTTGTACCCTCGGTATAACCCCAATATCGCACGCAGCGCTGTGTACGTCTATCGCACAAATTTTTTTCCTGCCAAACAGCCCCAATAATAACCATATAGGTGGGGCATTTACATATAGGGCTGTCAAAAAAGCTCGTTGTTCGCGAACAGATCGTGTTCGGTTCGTCAATGAGTTCGTGTTCGATTCGTTCGATAAGTAAACGAGACAAACGCGAACAAATTTTTTTTGTTCGGTTAGTTAAACGAACCAAACACGAACAGTGATGCGTTCGTTCGTGTTCGAATCGTTATTGTTTGAAATATAAAATAATATAAAATAATTACAACAAGTTACAGGGAGGTTACAAGGGGTTATACCGTGAATGTAACCCCCTTGTACCCTCGATATAACCCCAATATCGCACGCAGCGCTGTGTACGTCTATCGCACAAAATTTTTTTTTCCTACCAGACAACCCCAATAATAACCATATAGCTGGGGGCATTTACATACATAACCACAGAATTCTTACCTATTTACATATCCAACACCTAAAATTTAATATTACATTCATAACACTCAAATCTTTAAAACCACATAAAAATGCCACTTTGCTAACTTTTTAAAAGTCAAAACACACATTTTTATGAATAATTTTATAAGGTCAAGGTTAGGTGTTAGATATGTAAATCCAGAAGAATTGTGTGGTATATATGTAAATTTCCCTAAAATGTAAAGCAGAAACCCGAGAATTACTTACAAATTGAAGAACATATTCACATCAAAATGGCAGCCTCCTTACAAATGTTATGTACACATTTTTACCACAGAAACAATTAAATCATCAACAACAGGTTAATTGAAGGCTTGCAATAAATAAAATAGAAGTTCAGGGTCCATACTTGTCAAGGTCATAGAATTCTATGTTCTTGTACTTTTGAGAAATGATTTCTGCTTGAACTTTCCTCGCCGTATCAGTAGCACAACCAACAAGGATGAGCACAGATGTTCCGGCGAAGCCGCGAAAGGCAGTCAGGTGAGTGATTTGTTCGACCACGGCTGGACCGGAAGCAAGGATGGCTAGGAATGCAGAACCCAATATAGATATGCGACTTAGAACCTGTAAAAGGGCAATTCATGGGACCATCTTTGGAATAGAAGTTTGGGAAACTTGCATACATACCACACAATTCTTATGCATTTACGTATCTAACACCCTAAGTTTGATATTCATACTTATAATGTTTAAGTTTGATATTTATGCTTATAAATGCATGAAAATATGTATTTCACTTATAAAAAAATAGTGATGGTATTATTTTTGATGTGATGTTAAAGATTTGAGTGGTATGCATGTAAATATGAATTTTTAAGTGTCAGACATGTAAGTACATAAGAATTATGTGGTATGTATGTAAATACCCCTAAAACTTTTCGTTGGATAGCAGAGTAAAAGGCTGAAAGGCAACACAAAGAAACATATCTACTGAAGGAATGTATCAGAAGAAAGAAGAGCGAAACATATTTGAATCTGTTTTAAGATCAGTACAACATAAAAATTGATTGATAATTCATATATTGCATTCATCTCAAAGTAAATGTTAAGGGTTTTACAACAACCAAATTTTGGCTAGAATATGAATACAACTCGATATTGCCTTGGCATGGAAGAGAAATATATGGTAAATTTAAATTTTTAATTTGGATTTTGATAAAATAAAATTACATGGTGCACATCAAAATTTATGATGCCCAAAACTATTAAATGTTACCCTGAAAAAAAAAAAAATAAAAACTACCAAATGTTTTAAGAGCAAAACTAAAATGAACTAAAAATTTAAGAAAATTATTCAATCTAAAGAAAAATCCCAAATGAATCTTAACGTGTTTCAAAAGTTCCCTACAAACTCTTAGACACCTGAGATTGATTCATTGTCAACCATAGGTAATCCAAGTGGCACAAAGACATTTCTCATTAATCAAATGAGCAAAACACAACTTCGTTTTAAAATAGTTATAAAACATTTAAAAGTGCATCATAAATTCCTAAATTTGAAGAAATTCCACTTTATTATTGGAGAAAAGGTGTAAAATCATTAACTAGTCCCTCACACCCCCATTGGGTCAAATAACTAAAATGCCTATTAAATCATCTAGTATTCATAAAATATTCCCAATATTCACATAAAATTATGATATTTAAAGGATAAAGACTTCGCCCAAGTTATAAGGACAATCTTTCAAAATGAACTAAGCCATCCAATGCCTCTAAGGGCGGTTGGAAGACAAAGGTCTTCAATGTCAAAGGAGCAAACCTAACCCTAATCCTGTAGAGGAGCTGTGAAAGGCCCTAATGATTGAATGTGGTGTATTAATGATAATGGGCATACCCCCAATGTTAGATGGCATAATGCATTCTGGGTATTAATGATTCAATAACCGACTTCACCAAATTAATAGGCAATACATTTATATAAGGTCTTGAAGGCCTTTTGGTGTCAGCTTTATGAATCTTTGTTGTTCATTCAATTCAATTGAGCATTGGCTGAGGTATTCATTTGTTATCCTTCATTGTACATATAATAGATTCAAGCTCTTTAAACACATCACACCTAGGTATTATTTTGTTTTCTAATAATATTGATGAATAATTGTTGACACTGCACCTACTAAAATAAAACATTACTTAATTTTTATTCTAATAATTCTAAGTCATCTTTGGAATACTTTCACCATTATATATTATGATAGTTGAGCACACACACAAATTTAAATATTATGATAGTTGAACTCATCATCAAATCTTCAATTTCTAATATGATTTATGATGAAATGAGTAAGATAACTTTGTAAACCCACTTCAAACTCTAAAAATTTTATTTTTTTCTTTGTACAAGATCGGTATACATTTAGGTCACCTATGATTTGTTACCGGGGATATCATATTCCAAATAATATTCATTTTTATAACAAGAGCAAGAATTTCATCCAACCGCGTTCTCTCCTGGTAATTCAACAGTCTTACATGTATGATTTTTTTTTAAAGCATTTATTTCTTCTCCCATGACTTCCATCTAATTTTTATTTTCAAATGACCCAAATAAAATTTGCAGAATGAAAATATAACTGGTGTTAATGAGATAGAAAGACTTTATGAAATTACTTATTTAAAGATATGATATAAATAAATGATAATTGGTTAAGTAGTGTTATTTGTTAACGGTTCCGAGTCTAGGGCTTGTTGGAGAGATTGGTTGGGCTTATTCCTTCTTGTATAGATTTGAAGGGGGGCAGCCAATACAAGGTGTATTTGTAGGATTTTGGCTTACAGAAAAATTAAGATGAAAAATATCATCAGACTTATCATCAATATGTGAATTCTCCTTTTGAATATGAGTTTGAGTTAAGAAGTGTTTTTATCAAAAGTGGCATCCATTGAAGTGAGAAATATTTGTGGACGGATGATAGTAATTGCACAATCTTATGTGGCAGAATATCTGATTAGGATGCACATGAGAGCTCTGGGATCAAATTTCTCTAGGTTGCTTACGTATACGAGCATAAAAAATGCATTAAAAAAATTTAAGAAGAATCTTTTAAGAGTTATGTATATAACAAAATTCTACTAACTAATATAGTGGACTTTACGAATCAAATATTTTGGAGGATATTTTGTTGATTAAATAGATAAATGTTAGAACAACTACTTAATAATGTTTTATTGTAAGGAAGAAGAGTCCTAGTTACCTTCAAAAAGTATATTTTTTTTTTCTGCCACTCCATTTTGTTGGAGTGTCAAGATAGGAGGATTAGTTGATAATACACTCTCTTTAAAAGATTGATGTTAATGTGTGATTTAAATAATCATGAGTACTATCAATCTTAAAAAATTGATATTATAGTTAAATTAATTCTTTATCATGACAGTGAATATAGAGAGTATAGTGCTAACATCATTTTTTGCATAATTAATATTCCCATGTCAATTAAGAGTAGACATCAATAAACATAATAAAACTAATGACTTCAGAGATAGTGAAGATTTTAGAAGATCCCCAAATATTAGAATAAATTAATATAAATAGACTACAAAATAGAGTTTATTTCTAAAAATGAAACACGATGATGTCTAAGAATTTCACAAGTTTCATAATAAAAGTATTTCATCTTTGTATTTATAAAAAGAGAAGAAAATATAAGCGGCAAGTTTTTAAAATAAAGATATTATAATCTATAATGAGATGTTTAGATATTGTGGATGGGAAAGGTGAAGGAGTATGATAGCTGATCTCGGTCCTTAAGAAGGTATAACTCATCTTTTTCTCTAGCACGCCCAATCATATTTCCTGTAGTGAGATCTTCCAAAACAAAACAATTAGTAAAATAATATGATTTTACAATTGTGTTCCTAGGTAAACTTTTAAAAAGATAGAAGAATAACTGCAAGATGTGAGAAATATAATACGTTATTAAGTGTTAAGTTGGGAGAAATTAGAAAGCCTCTCTGTCCCTAAAAATTGTTAAAATATATCCGCAACTTTTATTTTCCTATTGCTACGACATGCTTTTTAAGTTCAAAATATATTGACAAGATTTTTCAAGTTGTCAATGGCCCCTGAATTTAGAATCCATAAAAAGAACAATTATTAGAGACACTAAGAACATTAAAATTAGATATCATACCATTCTAAGCATGAGAGCAAATTTCTAATGATTTTTCTAACAAATTGAGAAAATTCTTTAAATTTTTATTACTTCTTCTTTTTTTACTCTACTACGCAGATCGTTCATTTCTTATTTATGCTTTTGCTTCTTTCATAGTCTTGGGGCTTTCAATGAAATTTTCAGTATTTGTCGTTCTACTTGCCCTTTTTTTTGCAGTAATTGCACAAAAGATTGCATTTAAGCAAAGAGTTTTGTCATTCTTTTGAAGAAGAACTGTGATAAAATTTTTCTTAAAATGAGATTCAAAGCTATCATTGCAGATATCCCGAGGGTTGAACCATTGATCATCGGTCTTTTTTTCTTCTTATGCTTGTATGAGCAAAAATACTCATTCAGTAAATCGAAATTTTTGTGATTAAGATTTTGATTCGAATTTGATCAAATTTATTATTGAGTCCTACCAAAAACTTAGATTCTCGCTCGCTCGAGAAATATTAAGGAATTATTGCATCCTCATATCATGATATTTTGATAACGTGATAGTAGTCCAACTTTAACCAGTAAACCTTCATGATATTAAAATATTCAATGACAAGAATATTAACTTGTTTGAAAGTTGTGAGCTTTGTCTTGATTTCAAAGATGAGTGCAACATCTTGCACTTTTGAGTAGGTTTGTTTGACAACATCCCAAACCGCTTTGATGGTAGGAAAAAAAAAGAATCCCACTAATCTCCAATAGCATGGGGTTCCACAAAAATGTCATTTCTTCCCAGTCTTTGGACTCCGGAGATAGATCCAAAAGGTGTTGGATCTTTCCATTTCTCTTTAGAAAGAATTTCATGATTTGTGACCATTTTAGATAATTTCTTGTTCAAGAGATAAGAAGCATGAATTATCTGAAGTTCTTTGATCTAATTTTCACCATTAATTATGGTTGATTCCTTTGAAAGAAAGTCAAAGAACCCAGACAAAGTTAATAGAAGGAGAATTTACTAAAAGGGATTAAGTTGGAAATGCAAAACATTTGAGAATAAAAACAAATGCTAAAAGGAACACCATAAACTTGCTTTGATACTGTGTAAAAAAAACATGAAAAAAATTCTCAAGCATCTTCTTATTTTCTTTATACAAGAGGTACAAAGCCTTTAATAAAATAAAATTAAATCAAAAAATTGATGGAAAAATAATGAGGGGTTGGCAATCTGGCAGGAAGCACGCAGATTGCAATCCAAGAGTTATAGACATCCAATGGCACAAAGCCATAATCTATGTTCCTTAAGTTCTTTACTATCTGAAGGTCATAAAAAACATATTCAATAGTACAAAACCTTGATCCGCGTGCCTTAATTCTTTGATATGATTGGAATAGCAAAATTTTAATAGTAACTACTATTACTAATAGATCAACTACATAAAAGATTTGTCAACTACATAGTCTGTTCATATTAATGAA